CATCTTATCTAAATTAGGCTTCCACTTTACCAGGAGCGTCAATTCTTAGCATATGCTACAATCGCCATTTACCCGTCCACTCAGTTGTCCCACCCGTATAGCCCCTATTACCACCGGTCCCGATTGACAGGCAGCTTTGTTTTTGCGGTGTCAGGAGGGCTACCAACTATCATCTAACCATTTCTGGTTTATTAGCCGTCGTCAGCCAGTCATACCCAACCCCGAAGTGTGGAACACCCGAGGCTCGAACTCGTGACCTGTTCGTTAGAAGTCCACGCCTCTAACCACTGGGCCACGAGCCCGTTGCCCTGTCGGTTTTCGATCGGGAATATACAATGGTAAGGGGTGCTCACCATTGTATATTCCCGATCGAAGTGGCTTGCACCCCGTCAACACGCTTACACTGAATTTCGTCGTTCAGCTTTGCCTTTTGGTTGTTGAAAGTCTCCTAGTAGAATGTTTTCTCAATTCAGCTGTAAGCCTTCAAAATTAGGCCCCATAGTTTCTAACGAAAGAGTACTTTCTGGGCGACTGGCACTTTTTTATTACACGCTGGCAATCGATATTGATGTATGCTTTGTGTTCCCTAAAGTAAACAACTTTTACATGTTAATATTCACTGGCTTATTAAAATGAAACTTACAAGGTGCGTGCTTGCCACTAGAAACAGGCAAAGTGCTAAGTTGTGACTCTCCATTTTTACGAAAACGTAACTTTCACAGTTGTCTTTACGGTAAAACTTGGCCTTAATCCAATTACATTGCAACGCTAGCCAGGTGTTTTGTATCAGTGCTCCATTCGCGGAATGCGTCTAACACGTTCATATTCACCAGCTTCCCTCAACGTCCGACATCCTCTGATAGCCTCTACTTTCGACAGTTTATTTGAATTCTCTGACAGGTTGTCGGTCGTACATTTTTCGTGAGGACCTCAGGCTTGTATCACTCAACAGGCGCTTTTTGGTCACACAGGCTACTTGTTAGTTAGTGAGTATTCTTATTTATCAAAGACCATCCTCATTTCGACTCAGTCCCATAGGATGCACCTCACGCCCCCGCCTCCCACCGGCAACGCACTTCCTTCGTACTGGGTAACTCGGGACCGCCTTCTGGAGACCCACTACCACTGGGCCGGTCGGAGAGTCCATTTCTGCGAACGACACGATCTCCTTCTCTCCTCTTCCCAACCCACACCCCTGTTTGATGAGGATCCAACACCCACCGCCTCCGACTATCAGGTCGCCGACGACTTTCGACGTCGCATGCATCTTATTTCCCCTCTCATTGACCTTACCTCTACGCGCTACTACCGCAAAGACAGCGTCGACGGGTGGAAAAGCGATGCGGTGAGTAAGAACCACCTTAGGCGCTAGTAGCGTCTCATCGGTGACAGAATGAATTAACCTCTTGTGTCAATTTCAAGCACTTTCAGTTCCCAGTGGTGAATCACCCAGAAAAGGCGAAAAAGTAGTCCAATACCCCATTTCGCCATATGTAATTAACTGCAGTTCAGTTTGTTTTGTGCAATATCGATCCTTTAAGGACACCAGTATGATTCCCGCTGCTGGCTAGTCATTATTGTTCATGATATTTAGATGCAACGGCTGACCACACCGCCCAACATTTATGTACATCCAGCATCACTCACTCCCAGTCGCCTCACATTTGCCCTGCCTGAGTCAGCTACAGTAGGTGGGCTAACTCATGAAATGTCGACCGAAACTCCGAAATGTGTTTTCGTTTCCAAAAGATTAATTAAGTAGGGTTGTGAAACTAATAAGCCTGCAGCATAATTCTATAATAAGTCAGTTACCTCAGGATGCCGGCTTTCGAATGAACTTCCTTCCGACTGCATACAGAAACTACACTGTAAAAAATGACTACTTAATTAGCATGAATTTTTCTCATTGATTTTCGATGCCTCTAAAAGTCCAGTCATATTTCATGGGCAACATGCATAATAATTTTCATTCTTTTGCCATTCGGTAGGTAATTACGCCTTCTAATTTTATGCTCGAAGGAGGGACATAATTCTGTTTTAAAAAAATTTTCCAATTCCCGTATAATTTTGAACCCTCTACCGTTACACTTGGATTCAGGGTTCCCAATCTACAAGCCGTATATTTTCCGCGTACGGAAAACCACACATCTCTCTACGGTAATAAAGGGGGACCATATAGGATTCATAAAATTAAGCAGTGGATTTGATCTATATTGTTAACTTTACAAGCCACATTGGTAAACGCAGAGATATGACGATTGATGAACGACCATTTCATGGCATTTAAAATTCCCACAATTAGGAACTTTTTTTAAAAACCGAATTATGTGTCTTCTTCGAGTATAAAATTAGAAGGCGTAATTATCTACCGAATGAACAGAAGAATAAATATTTTTATGCATGTTTTCCATGGAATATAATTGAATTTTTAAGGACATTGAGAATCAACGTGAAAAATGCATGCTACTTTGTAGTCCTTTTTTACAGATTATAGGTTTTGCAGGCCGCCAGAAAGAAGTCTGAACGCCAACATCCTGAGGTAACTGAAATGTTATAGAATCATGTTGCAGGCTGACTAGTTTTACAACCCTACTCAATTAATCTTTTCGAAACGAAAACGCATTTCGGAATTTCGGCTAACATTTCATAAGTTCGCCCACCTACTGTACCTCCACCCTATCCCTACCTATCCAGCGTAATCGCGGAGGGACACCCGCATCGTTTTTTCATTCTTTGTTTACCTGAGGTGATAACGGCGAATGGACAGTCCAAAATGATCATCGCTGTGGGATTCAGTACATGACCTTGCCTCCAATTCGTTATTGGAAGAAGATCGTCAACTCAATCCACGCGATAGGTTGTCAAGTAGACTTGGTATATTTCTCTCCAAATAGGCTTATTCGCTATCAACAGATTTAGTAGCCGAGAAAAGACCGTAAGTTACCTCACTTTCATCCACCATACGTGAATGTCGACCACAGTCAAGCGGCATTGTCATGTACTTGCCGACTCCCAGGTTACTGTTCACTAGGCCAGTGGAGTCACAGTAACTGTCCATGCGTAGTGTTGTTCATTACTTAATCTTGGAAGTCTCATGTCCAAAGGCTGACGGATACAGTGCATATGTGCATCAACAGTCGAACTGTCATGTCCTCAAAAGCTAGGACCAACTTGGAGTCGTTCCCACAGTTACAATATCCGCGGCTACCGTATCCCATTGTAGTAATCCTGCCCGCCTACATTAAGACCCGCGGTGCACCTACTAAGAGCTCTGCGTTTTGCAGGAATGGCGGGCTCGTCACGACCTTTCCTCAGGGTCCGAGGTAGCAACGTTTAAACAGTGGCCTGACCGCCCGGTCACAGAGAGGTAACATACCTGAAGGCAGCCTACAGGTGTGACCGTGACACCTTTTCTGATGTGCGGCTGAGACCAAACACAAAAATTGAGGTTTTGCTGCTATTAGAGGTCATGGGGATAGCCAGGGCACTTAAATGTGCGGCCGCGAAAATCCCAGTTTTGTGTGTCATGTTATGCGTTCGTCTGCTTCCGGGTGCTAAAGACTCTGACTAAAAGTTCATCTGGCCTTGCTTTCGCTGGTATCACAAAAATCACAGTGCTTGCAAAACAACTATATTAGTCGGCCTTGATCTCCCTTCTTGCTTGTACATGTGCAGACCTCAGAAATTGATGATCGTGGTTGTAGTCGTGGATACTTTTTGTCTCCTAAAAAAGGCCATGCGTTGGAAGTACTGGGCAAACACGACAGTTGGTGGGGACCCGGCAAAAGTCATCGTGTATGCGCATCCATAACAAGTGCCAAAATTAAGGTTTGTTGGCACGCATAGTTCCCGGCTCACGCCACTTGGGATCCCCGCCGGCCACCTGTGTGGGGGTTTTCGCCGTGCCAGTCACCTCCACCCTCCCCTATCTCCTGTTTTCATGACAATTGACACGGGGCCCAGGTTGGGGAGCATAGTGTGGTAGATTTAGCGCAAGTCCAATGACACTATAAACTAATTCACGCGCAAGTCACCGTCCCTGCTCTCACCCTCCCGTGAAGCACACTCGACATCGTCGGCAACGACGATTAAACTGTCGGATAGAAATTTCATTGTATCACATCGCATCCACATGTCGTTCACACTTTACTTTCTTGCTTCCCGCTCCCCCCCCCCCCCTCTCCTCCAGAGGCCGACTTATCCCTACCCCAGTTTATTTACGGTGAACATGGCTCTACCTAATATCTGGTCAGATTTCACGGCGCCCGAGAAGGCTCGTATCACGGTGGAGCAGAGGCAGGCCGTTGCCATCATGAACTGCCTGGCCTCCACAATTGCAACCGCCCGTCGACTCTACGGCGAAGATGTCCGTGAACTGCCCCAGCCGCTGGCCGTAGAAGCCATCTGCACTGACGGCGTTTTCTTCGACTTTGTTGCCTTCCAGCTGAATAGTCTCAACTTCCCTGACTGGAATGCGTCCAGTGCCAGTCAACCAGAGGGTCCACTAAACTTCGTTTGGATTGATGGCAATCGCCGACTGGTGGACAAACGAATACCACGACGCGGTCTCCTCCGAAGCACGCGCTACACAGACCTAGACATGTCCGTGTTTTACCGCATTCTAACCAGCTATTTGCGCAGCTCAAGAGCCCTAAGGGCGGAGCAGCCGGACAATGTGATGATGCGTGCATCCTCGTAGGCAATTATATCTTATATATCTTATATCGCACATGGGATCTTTCCCGACAGGCACTCAAACAATGTTGCCCTCGTCATTTGCATTTGCGGATACTGGAGCTCGCTGATCTGGGATCTAGATCTGAGTTTTCGCTGAGGCAATACTATAAACTTCAGCAATCACGCTTGTCGGGACTGCCAATATACTGTATAGTGTATGTTGATGAAAATTGTTGGTTATGCAAAGAGGCTGGAGTGTTTGGTTGCAGTTTTTATTCACTATATTGGCAAAAATGACAAGGTACAAGAAGATCTCCCTCCCTCTATCCACCGGCGGTTGCTGTTCTTTTTCCGGTCTTTCTAAAAAGGAAACAAGGAGAAGAGTAATTTGATAACAATCAAAACCAGCCACGTCATTGGTTGGTGAAATGGTGTAATTCAGAAGAGCTTCCCAGATAAACAGGTTTCCGGTCCGTTTAAGGACAGAAGTTTAGTTTTTGCAATTTTGAGCCCCTCCTCTGTTAAAAATGAGCAATTAAAGTATTCTCAGAGAGGCTGAAAACTGTGCTGGGTTAGGTGCTAATGAGTTCAAACCAATAGTTAATGGAGAGAACAGACGGAAATGGCGCCGAGCAAATATGAACACTTAGTGCTTTATTGTAACAACCGGAAGGACGAGAACTTGTCCTCGATGGGAGAGACACTAGCAATTTTTCAGGGAGAGCTAGTAAACCAAATGTGTAAATGGCCACCTTTAGTCCTTTAGGAGGGACTGGTGAAAAGGTGGAGGGGTTGATCCAGACCCCCTCGTCCTGGCAGTCAAATTAGCTCAATCCTTTGTAATGGCATGGCATGGTTTGGTACGTTCTTTTTTGTCGTCCGCCTACCTTTAAACGTTTGTTCAGTTTAAGCGGTATGCGAGACCCCTCTCCGGCCAGAAACGTGCAAACTAGCCATTGCTCAAACTAAGTTTGCCCGTGTCTGCCCACACCTAATCGCTAAAGCAGAAAGTCCAGTTAGCTCCGAAAGTTCGGTTGTCGCAAGCGACAACGTCTACACCTGGCCCATGGTAGCCAGCGCAGTTTAGTTTGGTGGGACTTGTGCTGCATCTATCGCACTCTCCTCCCCACCCACCATATTCCCCTGACAAGAGAGTTGTGACGGTGGAGGTGGGCGCGATGTTAACAAGGCTAAACGGTCCATCTACGAGTGCTACATGACCTGGTCCCTAACGCCACGTGAGAGTGGTGTTCACTGACTCGACATGATCGTAGCAGGTGGTGCCGACGTTCCGGTTCACCCCGCAGCTCTAGCCTAGAGCACTCACAGGCAATCCAATAGCGTTGACGCGCTAGTAACCGATTTTAACGGCCAATTTTGTTTAGTTACTGTTGGTAACCAACCATAATTCAACACCTGACGACGAGGAATGACATTTTGGCTAGCTTTTATGTCACTTGGAAAATGCGATTATCTACCGGAATAAAATGAGTCAGTGGTGATATGGCAGAATAACGGCACCGCTCGGGGGGACTGTACTAGGCCATGTGGTCCTAGCGTAGGCTTCCCATCTGCTACACACTATGCCTTCTATGCTGCTCATGGTCAAGACCTTGCCTGAAGGCGAGGGGACGGTTTCTACCTCAGCCACAGTGATGTAAAAAGCAGTAACGCTTCTACGCTGTCTCCGTGGCCTGCATTAGACAATTTGTACTAGGGACTCCAAACTGCTGGGTACTACTCCTGTCCTGCATCCTTCACAGTAAAAGGTAACTTACACTTGAACATAGAGGTATGTGATGGCAGCAAGAAAAGCAGTAAAGCCGGCCAGCATATAGGTGAAGTGCCGCGACTCCTCCATGGATAGGTAAGATACGGAGAGTTCTGCGTTGACCGGAGTCATGTGGATTCCACGTTCCAGTTCGTACTCGCCCTGATCACGGGCCCACTCATCAAGTCGTGAACTCCAGCGCCTGAAAGAAGTCAAAGGAATCTCTGTTTTGATATCCGAACTCGAAACAAACAAACAAATAAACTGTTAGGGGCTGCAAAGCTTGGACTGATTGACTGAACGCTCCTTACCCCCCCCCCTTCCTCCAGCGGGCTTATTTCTGAAAACAAAGCTATAGGAAGTATAATCACTATATGAAACCTTACTTGCGGACAAAGTGAACAGACAATCACCACACCCACTGCAAAAACGGCAGTTTGCGCTTTATTCCAGAACTCCAGTCGGAGTCACTAGTTGACTTGACCACTAAGGCGAAGGTTGTCGAGGAGTGTCTAATCGGGGGAGGGCGGTGTACGCTGACGAACTTAGGCTTATCAAATCAAGGATGAATACCAAACTAAACGTAGAGTAGCAGAAAGTGAATGGAAACTTGGTCTGGTCTAAGATGTCTTGACGAATAAAAACACTAGACATAGGATGAAGAACTGAACGATAGCAGTCATCCGGTTGGGGAAAGTAATAAAAGTCTTTACGGTGGGTTGTAGACATAAAATTTAGTCAGGAGCAGAGGCATTTCGGCATCGCCGAACTTTTGCGTTCATTTAGCTAATTTATCGCCTGAGACAGTGCTGCATCAGTCTACCCCCCGGACCCTGTCGTCTCGCCTCTGTTATTGCCTGAGATCGGTTCGGAACTTCGAAAGTCAGCTTCTGTCGTCGAAAAGCAGGATAGGACCTCCAACTGAGGATGAGAATGGATTTGCAAACACATGACAAAGGGTGACAATCAGCTGGATTTTCGCGTTTTTGAAGCTGACGCATCAAAAACTGAACAAAACGCTTGAAGTCGACGACCGATCTCCTGTAATATTAATCGAAATCCTTAATTTGTTCTATTACGAAGGATTGCCTATGTGGGGTTGTAAGAGTGACTTTTTTCCAGGATAATCCCATCATATTCCAGACCCGTCAACAGTGCAGTTTAACAGCAGGGACAACAGGATGCAACCCTGCCGAACGCTAGACCGAATACAAAACGGTTCGGAGAGATTGTTATGGACCAGAACTCGCGTAGCGATGGAGCGGTAACAGGCCTTGATCGTGGCGAAGACATTTGGCGGTAAACAATCTAGTGCCAATGGAGTCGAACGCGTCGGCAAAGTAAAAAAACGTAGACCGACATCGGTTGTAGATAACTTATGGCGGAATTCAAGGATGCGCCTGTGTCAATACCTCGTCCGCACATCCACGTCCACCACGGAATCTGGCCTGGTTGGGCCTCGTCCTGATCACGCACAGCCTGGAATAGCTTGAGAAGGAGAACAGCGATGATAAGGGGGCCGGCTTTCAAGCGCACTTTTTTGTCCGCCTTCAAAAGCCACACTTGGGAGAAATAACTACTTAAGTAGTGCCCGTTTTTCCTATTAATTTCCGATATCTTCATAAATTCAAATATACCTAATAGAAACCATGCCCGAAAATAATTTCCGTTGCACACGTTTGGTGGAAAACCACGTCTCCATTAAATTGTATACTGGAAGCAAGTGTACCCTTCAGTTTTCAGTTTTGAATTAATACATTTTTACGAACATCTAGTGTCCATTCAAGTGGCATTGTATCAGTCTGTCCAACAATGCTTCTCATGAAGCAAAATTTTGAGCCTCATACGGTATCTTCTTAATAGTCTTCCTTGAACGAGAAGTATGCAGCTTGCAGACTAAAAACCCTAATCGCGAATTAAACGGCAGATCGGGCTCAAAGTTACCTGGGAATTGAAAAACTTTCTAAAAACCGACAGGGGCACTTTCTTCTGAGCATAATAGAGACGTGATTTGCTACCAAACTAGTACTTAAAATACTTTTAAGCATGCTTTCTACAATATGTATTTGAATTTGTTAAGACATCGAAAATCAACGAAAAAAAACAGGTACTACCTGAATAGGTATTTTTTTCTACAAATTGCACTTTTTGCAGACGGCCAAAATGAAGTGCATTCAAGAGCCAATATCTTGGCCTGCCTGAAATACCACATGGGATTATGTCGCAAGATAACCAGTTCTACAAACCCAGTGAAATAGTCCTTAATCGAAAACGAATTTCAGAATTCTGGTCAGAATTTCAGGAGACCGGGACGCGCTCCACAACGAAAGTGGACTTCGAATTAACACCTACATTTGAGAAATAACGAGCACAAAAGTAGGGCAGGACGGCGTTTTGGAGGCTAACTGGAAATCTGTGTGTCTCGAAAAAGAAGTGGGCCCGTTCAGTAACGGAGAACACAAGATGGCGCATTGTCTGTGCTTACCTGTGCATCTCCATATCGTACGATTTAAGAACTTGGGGATCAATAGAAAGGTCGACTTTTGGGTAGGTCATCTTGTATCCATCCGCATTCGCACTGAAGGCATTCAGTCTCCGCTGGAGATCGTACTCCCGACGACTTTGCTCCTTTCCAAGGACCGAAAAGGCCTCGCTTATTTCTATAAATTTTGTGTGTGATTGCGGGTTTGATCCGGCCACGTCAGGGTGGTACTACACAATGGAAGATGGAGAGAAGAATGGCTTCGCAATCTACCTTCTTCGACAGAGCGTGGAAAGCCTGTTTGACCTCCTCGGGGCTAGCATTGGGCCGGATCTGCAGGATCTTGTAGTAATCCCTAGCTGCTGTTGTCGACGTAGCCGATCTACATGAAATGTAACAGCAGAGCATTTGAAAGGTCCACAAACTGCAGGACATAAATTACGCTTTTGAGGGCTCACAAGTGGAAAAGGCGACTCCATTAAAAAAGAAGCGGCAAATACATGGACTCGCATAAGCAGGCTTCTAGTGTTCCTGAAAGGGAGAAATAATCAGCTACCTCCTTAGGACTTCTCGCCTGTTTTGGATCCGCAGTTGACCCATAAAGTTCCCTATATAGTACTTTCTCCATAAAAATATGCGTCGATGCACAAAGAGTAGTCCGCTGTCTGCAAGAAAGGAGCTTGACAACTACAGCATTCCTGATAATGCCAAGTGCAGGGGGGTAGCAATTCTGACAAAAAAGCTCGGCAATTGTTTTGTGACACGCCCATACTGAGAATTCTCAAGATGCCTCTTGAAAGAGATATTGGAACATGCCATTGTGGTTTGTTGCTATGACGTCTGTGGTAACTGGCACACTGCGTGGCCCTGACGTATCGGTGCGAACGAACATACGGCGAAATGTACTAATCAGTCGGAAAGGAGCCCTTGAAATTCGAACTTGGAGGATGCGCGCATCTCTTGGACCCTGCACCTAAAGTCTGACAACGCGCAGCCTTCACCAAGACAACGCGGATGTGTGAAAATCAAATCTTCGACTCAGCTTTCAAAAAAAACCAAGATCCTGGAATAAATTGCCTCGTCCGCTGACAGGATGCCGAGCAGGTCCTTGGTAGATTATGGGCCTCCCGGGGCCAGCATGTGAGAGGCCACTTGTGTGATTTGTAAACGAATAACTGATGTACAAAGACACTGACTTCCGTCTATGTCCCCTCTCAGCAAATGGCCACAAACACAACAAAGACACCTACTTCTCGCGACTATCACCAGTTGGTACGCTGTGACAAATTTTCCCAGTAACTGGAATAATAGGAATTGGTCAGACGACGCCGCCACAAAGGACACCCAGTTGACGGGTTTAGTCTTTGCTCGTTATGCAACTACGGCATGAACTTTGTAAACCAAAACTGGGCGCTTACTATGCTTAGGTACCTCCGACAGCTAGACCGTTGTAAACGACTGTGCCCACCATGCGCCCAATGGCATTGTAGGTGCAGGACGGTGATTTGCGTGTGAATTAGTCTACAGTGTAGTAGACTTTCACCGAAGTCACATGATTTTAGCTCAGGGCACCGAGAGGCGTGTCTGCGACTAGCTTGCATACAGTGCCTATCGTCGGAATCGTCGACCGCCGGGCCGAAGTCGTAGTATTTACCGAAGGCATTAATTAGTCAACATATCGATCGTCCAATTGGCAGGAGTGTGTAGAGGCTTAGTTCTACAGTTGTAGGGCAAGACAAGTTTGGCAGTTCGCTACACGCAGACTTTCGATTTGGGGCGTACTATCACCCTCTGTGGCGTATCAGCAACCATTTTGTTGACTATTGGTTAGTATGATGAGACTAAAGAAACACAACAGTTTACTGAAAATAGTAGCGCTGCTTTAATATACGCCAAGTGAGAAACCATCCGGCAGAAGTATTGTCAGAACGAAAACCGATCCGGTTTTGCCGTGTCCCTGCGATTCCAACAGTATAGAAATTACTTAGAGGGGTCGGTCGCGAAGGCATCCACAAATATGAAACTGGTACCTTAGAAAATTATTCTATCCTACGCTTCGTGGGTGGGGTTTTATTCTTTTTCAGCCTTCCATCTCCCCGTAAATAAAGCATCGATGAAATGCTGCGTCTGCGCAACGTCAATGCGCCCCGAGGGATCGGTAGTCGTGTTGGAGTTCACTTCGTTGGAATTTTAGAGCAGTGTGTTAACGGATGGAAATGAGGTTGTATGAGAGGACTGAGGTTGGGTGATCTTCGGCCTAAAACAGGAAGAACAGACAGGAATATGTTCGCGGTGTGCATACATCTCATCGATACTCCAACCAGGGCTGTTTTGACACCACGATTATCGAGCGATCCCAAGTAAGTGAAACGCGAAGACGAAAGCTAATCAAGCTGGGTTTCGAGCTGGACGTGGATGTACGACCAAGAATGTAAATAAAAGTGCATCTGAAATCTCGAAGATACGTCAATAATTGTCGCCTGCTGAGCTAATCTCACAGTCGCGTAATTCCGTTGGGTTCGAGTTTCCGTGGTGAATAATGGAACCAGGAGATACTCTTACCACACTATTCCCTCTAATGAAAACTCGCCGTCGTTCCACTACCGCCCTCTTTCCCCTTTGCAACAATGCCCAAACACTCGATATTCAGTCGAACGTTCGATAACAATACAACGTCCCGCCTAAATGTGGTTTACAGTTCCACAGGCGTCGACTATGCACTAGTATGCCTGCTGATCAAAATGGGCTAGGGATATCGACATCGTTCGGCTCGCCTCGAGTAATTATGGCTTAAAGAAGGCCATGTATACGACGACGTCACCGAAACCGTCGATTTATTACTGACAATGCACTATCGAATTGCACCTCTCGGTCGAATAGGGCAACTTGCAAGAGTGACAGTCCACTTGGAAGACCAGACCGTCTCAAGTAGCACGGGGACAGCGGAACAGAGTAGAAACGACACCCTTGCCCAGATCAATTTTTTCTCGGCACGACTCCAGCCTTCTCATTTACCTATGGAGTTGTTGCAAATACTCCCATATACCAACTAATCGTTCAGACAGTCCTTTTCGCGGCCACGCATGCTGGTTTGTGCGTTTAGATAAATATTAAAGGCAGTTTTTCGGCTCAGGGTTCGAACTGAGGCATAAACTGTCGGGCGTCTTTCGCGGAGTGTTCGGCCATGGCATGCGTTAAATTTCTGGAAAACGATCCGACAGGCTGACAGTGCAGAGATACTGAAAAAACTTTAGGAGGCTGTTAGGATATCGTCTCTCATGATGAATTTAGATAAGTGTGAAACATCAGATGAGTAAGACTAATTCTAATGACTGCGCCTCATTCTTCCCATGTGCAAGAGCTGTTTGTTCACGTGGCAATCTAAACTTTGGAAACTTATGTTGAGAGGCCGCATGCTTTCAATGGCAGAACCGCAACGTATTTTGGAGAATAGCCATCCGAGATCTCACACGTGCTTCAAGTAAAGGAAATAGGGGGAGGCTGCGTCGGATTTCGTGAACGAGTCAACAATTTAATACAATTGCTTCAGGAATCAGAGGCAGGCAGGGTGCACTAAAAGCATCAATGTCGCATGCGATGGGCTGAAGGAGATCTTTTTGCAGTAGCCCATATAACTCGTAATTGCAACGACATTCAACACTACTGATTCGGATGGTTCTAAGCTGCAAGCTAACCAGATGGCGAAGCATCGCCTTCCATTGCAGTTGGTGAGCCACAGACTTCCGAGTAAAGATGGACTATTTGGCACACCCACCTCGCAAATGGAGGGCCGGAGGGACAGTGAAACCTTCAAATTTATTTTTCAACGCACTTGTTCACGTTTTCCGATAGTCGCTTCAACAACACCGCCAGATGAGATTGTTCGACCGAGATGATATCTCAAGCGACTTTGCTTTCAAATCAGCGCAACACGTAGCCAAACCTTCCAAGTTAGCGAGTAAGGAGGGTTGAATTTCTGACAGAATACACAGGAATTGATTGGAGACGCAGTCGGTGATGACTTCGGGATGCGACAGAAAGAATCAACGCCGCCTTCGGCCTAGCATGGAATAGGTGGACCGGCATTTCTCGCTTTGCAGAACTTTCGAAAACCGGTTCTGTAATTAATAGACTACTAACTTTTGTTTTTGCTTCTCTTCTGCTTTTGACTCTCTCTATAATGATTTATCTGGCCAGTCACACTGGACTTAGGTGACGACACGGTATTCTCTGCAGCTTCCACGGCTTCCACCGTCCCTGTTACTGAACACGGTGACAGGGCACGGGTCGTCAGTGTGGGCCGCCCCAAGACTATCGTCCCAAGCACTCCCTGTACAGGTCCCGACGTTCTATATTGTTTACTCAACTTCGTGTCGTGTCTTCGGTTTCCCATTAGTGCTGTTATCATCGCTAACTATCTTTATAACAACGGCACATCTCATCCATCTGAAGTTCAACCGCAAGCACCCTCGACCGCCGCATATATGGTGAAAGGCGTGTACATGGTTCTACAAATTGCTACTGGTATTCCTCGGCGGAAGCAAACCGCTCGGTATCAGTCTTCTAGATGGAAGGAGTGACGGTGGCATGCTCTTTGCAAGTGTGGGTTCAGTCCTTAGGATCACTTGTCATATGGATGTGCGGCATCTAATCTCTAGGAGGAAATAAAAAAATTCATGGCGATCCCCTCCAGCCGTTACCTTGGACGACTGCCGTTCCCCAACACCCACATAGGTACTCCTTGGATAACATTGCTGTTTGACTTTAAGTCAGTTTTTGCATTTTATCCTAATAACAGTTTCCAGTAAGTCATGCCTCCGTGATCTGTCACTTTGCAGCTCGTAAGCATAGTCTACCATACACAGGACATTCAACAATAGCGTAAAGGAAAATAACGACAGAAATTACAGGCAAGAGATAAAATTGGTTTTACATGTAAGATTTTAGACGTCATATCAAAACCTTAAGGGTAAAGATACGAGATATACCCTTTACCAACTGACGGCAAATTATTTTGCCATGAGAAACTGTAGTCCTATTTTTTGCTAAGGAAAATGTACTTGGAACCATGATTTCTGCCGCAGATGTGTGATCAAGATTGCAATTACTTTAGGACAGCAATATATTATAACATAATAACACTAGCTGGCATCTAATTTGCAAATACGGGGTTATGGCTTTCCATAAGTTTTTAAAAAAACACGTACACCAGTTTGTTGGCGGAAACGTAAAAGCGACCAACCCGCATGTGATATTAAACAGTTAAGTAAGGAAACCGAACCCTATGGGTTTATTCGCGAATTTGGCGTTGGGAGTTTTCAGTTGTCTGATGCCAGTGTACGCTGATGAGCGAATGCGAGATCGACTTTCCCGACCTAGTCAGAGAACTGCACATAAGTACCGGTGCTAAACATGCATTTCAGTACGCTTTCCTTGGGGGATAGGGCGTATAAATTCTGTTAGAGGAGAATATTAAGGCAGCGAAAACTTTATTTAGAAATGTCTCGTACGAATAACGCATTGAATCATGCGAAACGACAATGTGCCCGCGGCAAGTCATTTGCCAAGTGACTAGACTCACCGTTCGAGTGTTTTCTGCTGGATATATCTTTTACTTTGTATTCAGAATGGGTTGTCAGCCTATGTTCGGTGACTGAATAGGCTAAGACAGTGGAAATATGTATCCTGCCGCTTTACGTTTAATTATGCCAGGGAGTTGTTGCTGGTGTTGAAATACTGAAGACCTAGATAATGGCCAGCAGGATGTGTCTTTCATACAAACGAGAAAAACATATATTTATACTACACATATTTTCGACTATGTACTATTACTATATTTTCGACACTGATGGCTTCTTTTTGTCAGTGCAGATTTTCTTAATGACAGTTTCTGCACGCACTGATTGGTGGTGAACCCACTCCGTCTATAAATCAATCCGCACTTAAGCAGGGTACGAGCCGATTAACCAGTGGCCGCTGGACATACAAATTAGCAACCAGTTACTTAATTGAAAAATTATCTTAGCACATAATTTCAGGAGGGACTCTTGGCCTGCTTTGGAGACAAATCTGTCAAGTCTTTGTGCTCGCTTTGAAGACGAAATAGCAGCGCACATAATGTATGATTGAAATAGAACAAACGACGCCATCTGTGAGTCAAAACATGCGTGAAGTCATTAGAGGTACGTTGTTGCTTGCCTTCATGAAGTATCGCAACACAGACGTCTTTGCGAGCTGGACTAAAGGCCCCAGGCCTAACATCCGTGGATTGGGAGTCGCCTTTATAAGGCGACTAAAAGGGTCTCTTGATGGCTATGGGAAGCAGTGGACTCGGGTGTACATAACATCTGAGTCTGAAAATTAGTTCCGGTTTTTTTCATTGTGGTGTACTAAATCCGTTTAGAATAAAACCCGGGCCCTTCCCCTCTCTCAATGGATTTGTTAGGTCCCAGTATGAAACCAAATAGCTGGAAATGCAGCCTGAAATGTTTTCGTGATATTTCTGTTTGGAGAAAACGCAAAAACCATACAAGCAGACTACCTTCGGCAGCATGTAACTTTTGAGACATCAGTTCACATTTCCCACAATGCAATTAGTTCATAAACTTCAAGAATGTGCATCGCGGCTGACCTTCGATGATATGCGCCGAAGCTAACCGCTAACTGCCCTCCTTGTCAGTAAAACCCGCCGATCAGCGCGGGCAACTTCTAATGTTTGACTGCCCTTCTAGAAGACGCACGTCCACAGCAATGAAGGACATGCGCCAATAAACTGTGGATATCATTAAGTAGGTTGGAGAGGACGGTACGCAATGAAACTTACGAAAATGGAGCTGAACACAACGGCTGAAGCAAACGCAGGGCAAGTAAGCCCCGAGCAGCCATTCAAAGAGCCGTAAGAGAAGTAGCGCATTCAAAGGACAAATTATTCTCATAAATGAAAGGAAAGGACTAAAACGCGCACTAATGACTACGGTCACAACGGTTTAAGACCCGTTATATGGCAAGTTCTTTGGACGAATATTCCGTAAGAGTCATCTGCCGGTACGCTTATCAGAAAGGCAATAACAGAAAATAAAATGGACTGAGTTGGAATCAAGGTAAGGCGCAACTACTTGCAGCACCCTATAGAATAAACGACTAACGAAGAACTGCACCAAAAAGATCAGTTATGAAAAGAAAGTCTCACGAAATGGAATTGTGCATTAGAGCTCGGAAGAAGTTCAGTTAGTTAAAACGGGCCACAAAAAGTGGGAAAAAATCGTGATGGAGAACGGTTGTAAGGCTGAGTCAGAACGTTGAACTCCAGGAAAACAAAAACCAATAAAATCACCGAGTCTGCATGATTAAACTGTTTTGATGCAGGAAAGATGCACTCGGAAAATGCTGAAGAATCGTTGTAGGCGCATAAAACGGAGGTGTTAACGCCGGATGTGCGTATAAACTTTCGTATATAAAGCGTATGCCGTGCAAAAACAACACAATCGTGCCCTGAACAACAGGAATATATGAATATGTAGCCTCTAAGACAGCAAATCATGTGTGGTCACAAACGTTGCAGTCACTTAGCCAAATCCCCAAGCTAACACTGAGCCATTCTCACACGACGCAAATTAATTCCCGCTCAGGTCATCCCAGCAGATAGACGTGCTTACAGGTTAAGATACTGGTGCGCGTCGACTATACTGGCCACCACTGAGTTTTCTTAAATAGTACACGACATCTACTGGCGTCTTTCCTCTACCCTAGAATGGGAACTGGACATGACTGATGCAGCGTTCTGATTACACACTTCCTCATCGCTCTAGTGCGTGCACTCGGCCAATTTGCCATAGTAGGGCAATTTTACATAGGTGTCCGAGTTATTCTAGCTTCTGTCAGGCAGTTACGTGTTAAATTGTTGTGTACTTTAGGTGTAATGTAGAGGGGCTAGACCAACTCAGAAGCAAGATCGGAGTGCGGGAGGTGTTATCGGGAATGCGAATTCATAACAGTTACCAACATTTGAGGTTTGAAGGTACGACCACGTGCAGGTTTACGCTGAGCCCATTGAGATTCCTGCTATCCCCTATTTTTTGGGTAAGGAATCTTGGCCAGTGACTTTGTGGACCAGGAGTGTTGTGGCACACCGAGGTGCCGGTTTACGCGGTGCCAGCCACCTGCACCCTTGTCTGCCACCGGTTTTCTTTGCTCTCCACTGACACCAGGTGTAGGTGGGGAAGGAGGAGAAAGTGCGGTAGATGCACCGCAAGTCCATACTCATTATAAACTAATTCACGCGCAAGCCAACGTGTCTGATTTTACTCTGCTGTGGAGCACAAGGTGAAAATCGTCGACACATAGCTTACGCAGGTTTTCAGTCACGACTTCTGTGCGGTTTTGCGTCTGCACATATAATCAATGTTTCATAAGAGTCATTTTTTTACAAAAACGTTAAATGTAGGCCAGGTAGTGCAATCTAATGAGCTCCACCTGGGGTAACATACTTCTCATACAGTCTTCGGGTTTCAAAACGGTTTTCCGCGTTTGACAGAACGTTCCTGCCAAAAAATTCGGTCTCACTTGAGCTGGATGGGCGGCGTTTCTGCTAATTACCTCACTTCTAGAATGTTCTAATAGTGAAGCTGGTCTCCATGATGCACCAATCGATGTTTGACAATGATATCATGGACCTCCAGAAGGCTATCACCTCCTCGAAGCAGAGCAGAGGTCTTACGCTGCTGAATGATCGGTGGACCAACGAGAGGCTTTACGAGCACCTAAACGAGTGTGGATGTGGAATTCACAACTACAACTTCAGGCGACTTATTCCGTGGGTCGGAGAATCAGTGGACTGCAGGGGCCTAACTGGGACCTGTTTTCATAATTGATTTGTAAAGTTTATGTGGGTGTTCACGTAGGCATTGTGCTGAAAGAAGAAATGCTAGTACGTAGCAGACATCCTAAACTGAACGCTAAACCCTCTCGCTGTCGGATGAAAGGTTTGAACTCTTCAAGTATAGACAAGATCAAACCGTCCCCTGAGTGAAAGTAAGTAGTGCTCATACAGTTCACGGGCAGCAAACTTCAGTTTTTTCCGCTGATATGCATGGACTTTGCACACAAAGTCAGCAGAAGTGAGCTTGTCGGACCTGGTAGATATGGGCAACAATACCTCCGGCAGAATGGAAGTTAATTGCGCACATGCAGTCTTCCACGCTTAGAACTTTCGGGTATATGGTTTAAAGAAAAGTACTCAGTGTAGCCCACACTGGACGGAGGCCGGGTGGCGGGTCTGTATTTTGTTCAGCACTTAGTGCGGGGATGCGGAACTCGTGAGAATTAAGTACGTGGACAAATTTTTCTCATGACTGGCATATCTTCCGATAGAACTCCTGCTCCTTGAAGATAATCGTCATTGATAAATCTAGCGAGCAAGCTGGCAAGCATAAATCAGTTCTAGATAATAATCATCGGATCACAGCAAATATATGATGAGGATATAATTGATCTATTATGAGTAGGTAGTAAGGAATAATGGCGATTTGGCATCACAAAAGCTCCGAAACAAATAAATTACTAGTGTCTAACCACGTGTTACTGGCCGGCTAGTATACGGTCATGGACGGTGCAGGTCCTGCAGGAAAAGCATTTTGTGTGCAGACCACCAGCTTGCGTGGTATAAATGCTGCCATCAATAGTGGCATAGCAACTGCATCCTATTACAGTTCGGCCGTCGTCGCTGACGATGTCCACCGTATGCCCCACAGCATGCTGAGAGAATGGACGGTGACTTGTGCGTTAGTTAGTGTAAAGTGGTGGGGGATTGCGCAGAATCTACACACTCTTCTCTCCTCCTCCACCCAAGCATGCATCCTATGTGGATACAAGGTCAAAAGACCGGAGACGGGAGAGGGCATGAGTGGCTGGCACGGCGCAAACCCGCACCTAGGCGTACTACTCCACTCCCTGGTCCAAAAAATACACTGACCAGGATTTTACACAACAGGGAAATTGGTATGGCATTAACTGGCTATTAGGCTTGTCGGCACTCCCCAACTGTTCACATTTCTTATGGGTGCTTATTCCTGATAACCCCTGCCGGATTCCGATCTAGCTCCCGTGTTTTTCCAGTGCATCTGCCGCGTGGCCTCTTTTAGGGGCAAACTTCATCCCATGAATGCTGCAATACCCGTGCAATACACTAAACCTCTTTTATCCTGCTTCTTATGGCAAACTCGAATGTGAATCCGAAACGTCTGACCAACAAGTATCGCCTTCCAGTGGACGTGCCTCACTCTTTGATACAGTAAAGGCCGTAATTGTGGTTTCTGAAGCCTTTTGTGGACTCGCTACACTACCTGGAGTGAATCACATAAGTTTGCACCATGGTCACTCTCTACTAGATTTGGGTCCATGGGGCTGGCATACGTCCTCTCACTCCTTGATTAATGCGTCAACTCTGAACTGGTTGGTGCAGACATTAATGTACGTACGTTATCGGGGTGCGCGCCTATAACGAGTGCCATGCAGGGGGTGGGGGATGCGAGTTCACGCCGTGCGCGCCGCCTGCGCCCGATACCGCCTCCAGTTTTCTGGAATCTGTCTTGGCACCTGGCTCAGGAGGGTGAGGTGGAAGAGAGAGTGCGTCAAACGCAGCGAAAGTCAGTCATTAATACCAACAAATTCACGTTTGAAAAGTCGATTTGGAAAACGTGTTTTCGGTAACCATTCATTAGGCCAAATGAGTTGCATAGAAGTTGAAAATATGAGAAGTTTACAGGGTTTATAAGTGATTAAGGGGGCTATTAACAGTCATTGTTTCCACGCCACTCATCGTTCTTACGCCGACCGCATGGCGAGGCGTGTTATGGCGTGGTCGGCGTGTTATGGTCATTAGGTCAAGGGGCGAGGGTGAGGGGTGACATAGGCTGTGAGCGATGTTTGTAAGTCGGGTACGATGAGCACACATCACTGCAATCAGGAGATTAGGCGACGTGCAATCATCTTCTGGGTTCGGCGTCGACCACGAAAGACAGAGCGCCTGTGTCAACGCCTTCTGACAACATAGCGCTGGATTGGCTAGTCGTATAGATAGATAGATAATTTTTATTAAAGACCCGTCGGGGTCCCATCAAAGCAAGTTAAAATAAATTTACATGCGAGTTTTAGACGAGGTAGGCCGAATCTTTACAAAATACAATTCATAGTTTCTGAATTAGAAGTCCATTGAGAAACATGATGATTGAGGGGTGAAAAAAAACTCCTTACAAAAAGTTAAAAATGATTGGATTAATTTTACAGGAGAAAAAAAACCCCTCCATAAAAATAATGACAGAAAAAAGCGAGCAGAACTGGCCTGTAGGTGGCGGTATATAACGGAATGTTGTCGGTCATCATCAGGGTATCAATAAATGTCCGCCTTGATGGGTACGAATGTGGGTGAGACAGGACTGGCTTGCATATGACATTGTATACGGGATTCACAATTGAGATCGTCTGGGTCGGATTGGCACGCCGCGTCAAAGAGGCCAGACGAGAGGAACCCAGATGCGATCGGCCACAGCACGCTTCGAGCTCAGCCGAGCATTGAGGAAGGGAGGTACGACCGAACTACTAGTAGACAGTGAATACTGAGGGTTCCGCCGTGAGAGTCGACAGACCGCATGAGGTCGGAATGCGGGAGATGACATCAAAAACCGCGAAAATTGTCGCTATGGGGGGAAGGATAGCAATGGATTTAGAAACCAATTCAGAACAGGGGTTTCTAATGATATAATTAAGAGTTACTACTTAATTTACCACTAAATCCCAGGAGGATCCTTCTCGAAGTCAAGAATCTGAGTGTTCGGGAATGAGACCGTTAAGAATGCCTTTATGCTTTCCGGTGTAAGATGGTTGCGTAA